CGTGTGACAGGCCGTGTGGCAGCCTGTGTGACAAGGCTGAGGTGTGTGCGCCGACCTTGTGAGACCAGAGCCTCCTGAGGGCGCCGTGGGGTGACGCCACCTGCCGCACCATGGGCAGTGTTCCAGAGGGCCCTTCACTAGCAGTGGCCTCGGGGACTGCGAGCCCAGGAACCCGGGGGTGGGGGCGCAGGGGCGAAGCTGTTCTCGTCCTTCCCTATTTAATTGCCAGAGGACTCGCTCACTCACCAGGCCCATCGAGAAAGCCTGTACGCAGAGCAGGGTCACGCCCCAGCCCTTCTCCCCGTCTACACCCGTGTGTGCACATGTGTCTGCTGTGTTTTGCAAGTTGCCAGGTCTGGGATTCAAACCATAGTCAGCCATGCAGGGTGCAGCTCCCTTAACCTCTAGGATAGAGGGCCAGCCCTGTTTTCTCGTTACGGCAACATGGCCCTGCTTTAAAAAAGGAGACGCAAGGGGTCCTGCAGGAAAGCCACGGCCGCTTGCATTGCATGGTCTCGGCGTTCCGCATTAGGCCACTGGGTTCTGTGAGGGCCGAGAGTCCCCTGCGCCCTATACGCAGGGCCTGGGAGTGCCATCTGGGAGCGTGGGAGCCGGAGCGCAGGCATGCCCCTGCGGGAGGAATATGGACAGGGAAAATGGGCCTCGCAGCCACGGGGGTAGGGCAATGCGCTGCTCTGTGGCAGGGCAGTTCTAGGAGGGGCTCACAGACCACAGCCTGCGGTCATGTCGGGCTGAGAGCTTGCTTTGGAAACTCGGCTCCTTGGGACAGCCACGCTCCCCCACCCTCACCGCGGCCATGCTCCCGTGCCACCGCCCCTCTGTAGTTAGCGTCGGCAGCTGCCGAGGGGTCACGGTGTATGCCTCCTCCTGAGCCCCAGGCCGGTCTCAGCTCTCTTGAACCCCTCCCTGGTGTCCCAAGGCTCCAACTTCGTTTTCCTTCGCTGGCTGCCATCCTCCTCCCAGGGCTCCCAACAGCCTTTCCACTTTTTCTCCCTGTACTCTCCGCATGCGTGGTTTTACCCTCTGCCTCGGAAGGTGCCCGTGCCTGCCCTCCCGGCCCCTCCGCCCACACCCACGCCTGCCCTCCCAGCTCCTCCGCCCGCACCTGCCCTGCCCTCCTGGCCCCTCCGGCCGCGCCCACCCTGCCCTCCCAGCCCCTCCACCTGCGCCCGCTCTGCCCTCCCGGCCCCTCCACCCGCCCCCACCCTGCCCTCCCAGCCCTCTGCCTGCTGACCACACTGCAGGAGCCTGGCTGCACCCCTAGGCACTCTCAGACTCAGGAATGTTGTCTTTGACCACTCCCCGCCCATGCCCAGGCTGTCCACAGAGAAGCCCAGGGGCCTCTACTCCACGCCCCCACTCACTCTCTGGGTCTCTGGCGGGCACACACCCCCGGCACTTAAACCATGTGTAGAACTGCCAATGCAGTTTCTCCACGAGAACAAACTTCTACCAGGAGTGTCATGACAGCCTCAGGGCAGCACGCCGTGAAGGGCTGCGTGGTGACGGGTGACCGAGGGCCACGGCCCGCTGCTGCTCTGCACCCGTCCCCGCCTCAGGAAAGCCCGAGTCAGAGGTTAGAGTTCTCAGGTCACTCGGCCTTAAGGATGGCCAAGCCACCGAGCCCTGGTCTGCTGCACTGTCCACTAGCAGCCATGAGCCGTGTGGCCCGGAGCATGTGGCGTGGCTGAGGGTGCAGAGCCTTCTCTGCCACAGCTGAGAAGCACACCTGCCTGCGGGCGCCATGCCGGGCTGCAGGTGCGAGCCGGCCCTCCCGCGCCCTGTCGCTCCCGGCTGTCTGGACTTCTGAAGAGAAGCAGGACTTCCCAGGGGAGGAAAGGTGACTTGGGGCCAGGCAGTGGCTCAGCAGTGACACCACCACACCAGCACGGGACGGTCCCAGGTTCGAATGTGAGGTCTCCCTGAACACACCAGACACGTGGGCTTGTGACAGCTGGGCTGGCTGAGGCCGGAGGGGACTGGGAGAGGACCCTGCGGGGCCACCGTGTCTCGCCCTCTCTCTCGGAAGAAACTTTAGAAGGTTTACGTATGTTCTGGGGTGACCGTCTTTCCGCACAGCCCCAAGGCGGGCTTGCTCCGGGAGCACAGGTACCTGTGTAGATGCCCAGCAGGGTGAAGATGAGCTCCTGGGAGGGGCGGTGGGTGCTGTTGGTGGCCACGGGGTGGCCACGGAGGCCATCAGGCAGTCGCTGGCCCCGCAGGACAGGAGCTCCTCCTCCGGGATGGTCTCTGTGAAGGCAGAGCAGACGCGATGTGACAGCAAACGGACCCATGGGGGTGGGCACTCGGGCACGGGAGGGACACCAGCAGCCGGGGCCAGATGGGGACATGTCAGGGCAGGACACATGCATAGGCACCCGGGGCCAGGTGGGGACACGCCAGGGCAGGACGCGTGCATGGGCACCCGGGGCCAGGTGGGGACACGTGACACCAGGACGTGTGCCCATACACCAAGCTGAGATGTGTGTGGGCACACTGAGGCAGGTGTGGGCACGCCGAGGCAGGTGTGGGCAGGCCGAGGCACAGGTGGGGACACGTGACACCAGGACGTGTGCGGTGTGGGCACGCCGAGGCAGGTGTGGGCACACTGAGGCAGGTGTGGGCACACCGAGGCAGGATGACTTCACACAAGCCACTGTGGGAGGGCGGGTCTCAGAGCACGTTTACCCTCAATGGCGTCTTCAGACCAGAGGTCGAGGTGGTGGGGCAAAGGCCGTAAAGAGCCTGGCCTGGACTCAGGAGAGTGGACGGGGCTGAGGCCCAGGGCCTCTGCGCTGCTCGCCTACGCAGCTTCGAATATTTAGCCTTTCAGATGTGGCCACAGAGAAAGAAGGCGTGCCAGGCTGCTTGGGCGTGCTGGGCGCTCTGGTCCGAGAACCAGCCCGGACCGTGGCGGGTGGTGGCACGGCTCCCTGTCTGAGACCTAAGGCCAACTCCTGCATCTAGAAAGAATCAGTGTGCACTACCGAGGACTCCCAGCCAGGGCCCAGCCAGAGCCTCAGGAGAATGGCACGGGGATAGAACCCTTAGCGTGTCACTGTACTCTCAAAGCCAATTTTACTGCCCAACACTTGGCAGGATCTTCCCAGCTGGCGAGAGGCGGTAGAAAGAATGGGCCCTCGGCCTGGCTTATTCACCTGCCACCGCTCGAGAGGGACTCACTGAGCATCTCTGCGCCTCGCCCCGGCACGAGACCAGGCCAGCACCAGGCGCCTCCGCTGTGTTCCGTGGGACGCTCAAGCCAGTGGAGCCCGTGTGAGTCACCTCGCGAATCCCTTCTCCAGAAGCACTTAGCAAGTGACGACATCGCGGCAGAAGACGGGCGAGGGCTCTGGCTCGAGTCCCCCAGCGGCCCTCGTCATACACAGGGTAGAGAGTGGGAGGGCCAGGGCACAAGGGAGAGCATGCGCGATTTCCTGGCATTGGCTTAAGTCCTCACCAGGGCTGTGCAAGGCGCCAGGTGACACACGGGTCTCAGTTCGTGTCTGGGCAAAGGTGGTGGACACACGTGAGCTACAGCTCCAGTCTCTCACGCGGTCAGATGTCAGAGACAGGCCCAACACACGGCGTTCAGGGACGGCGGGTGAGCACAGCTGCCCTTCTGAGTCTGCAGAGGCCACAGAAGGGCCAGCTGCCGGGGAAAGCAGTGGCCCGGTCCGATGCTCCGCCAGGCCGGAAGCTGTGGCAGGTCAGGGGCTGTTCCCAGTCTCCTGTGCCGCCAGGCGGGCACCCGGAGCTGTGAGCATGGCTGGCTGGAAAGGCTGGTCGGGGCGGAGATTGGGACCCAGACCTGTCATGGTTGCTTATCGTTCATGAAAGGGATGAGTAATTTTCTTTCTTTCTCTTTCTTTCTCTCTTTCTTTCTTTCTTTCTTTCTTTCTTTCTTTCTTTCTTTCCTTTCTTTCTCTCTTTCTTTCTTTCTTTCTCTCTTTCTTTTCTTTTTCTTTTTCTTAGAGCTTTTTGTTATAGGGCTTGTGCATGCCAGAAAGACAAAGACAGACAGAAAGCAAGAAATCACCCCTGGGGGGATGGCCACACCACAATCCCTTCTCCTCCATTCTCCTCTCAGGATCTTAGGTATGCATGCACATGCTCCCAGCATGAGTTTAAGCCATCTGGTCCAGGACTTGAACCACGGTCAACTACATGGGAGTCCAGTGACATGGCCATTATGCCAACTGCTAGTCCCATAATAACGCGTCTTTTTAAAAGGCCAGAGTGAAATTACGCGCAGAGACGTGAGGCACGCTATTGTAGTTTTAATCAGCAAGGCCTTGGCATCCGGGAAGCCACCTTGCTGTGGTCTGGGTCGATGGACCGGTGAGTTCACGGACCGAGTCCTGCCCCAGAGTCCAGCTCGGCTGGGCCTGGAACCTGAGACACACAGATGAGGTATACACACACATGCGCCCAGCGTGAGTTTAAGCCACCGGGTCTGGGACCCAAACCACAGTTGACTACATGGGAGTCCAGCAGCATAGCCACTACACCAACGGCTGGTCCCTAAAGTAAATAAATAAGTGGAACCATGATGTGACCTTCATCTTCCCCAGGACACCCCTTTCTGGGACCGGAGGCTGAGCCAGGGCAGGCACAGCGTGGGCCTTGCCTTCCGGCCCCACCACGCAATAAAAGTGGTGCCGAACCAGTGCCTGACCCTCAGGGGAACCCACTCACGCCACGCTGCGCCCTCACCTCTGCTGGGGGACTGGCCAAACACCAGCGCCGAGATCAGGTTGCCCCACACACCGGAGGACTGGAAGATGAGGAAGAAGATGCCGAAGTACTGGTTCACCACGTCCTTGGCCTGCTGGCCCGCCCTCCCGGCATGCCTGTTCCCCAGGACGGTGAGGTAGGTGCACTGAGCGGACCACAGCGGGGCAGCGCTCAGCCCCAGCAAGATGGAGGTGGGGATCAGGGTGTACCTGCAAGAGAACACCGCGATGGCACGCCGCCCCGCGTCTGGGACCCCTGGGAGCAGACCCCGCGTGGCACGGCACGGCCTGTGGTGTGGGCAGGCCGAGTTGGCGCACTCACCACGTGACTCAGATAAACAGCAAAGGCAGCAAGGGACAGAAAGTGGAACCAGGAAGCCCCCACAGCGCCTGTGGGGGGCCTGGGGAAGGCGTCTGGGGCCGAGGGCACCCCTCGGGTGTAAAGGACTGCGCCGTCTCCACGGAGGGGCGACCGGGACGGGCGCGGGGGGTGGGGTGTGTGTACCAGCTGGCGTAGAAGTTGCCCAGCGAGAAGGCCACGTAGCCACACATGGAGCCCGCGATGGTCCACTTGCAGCCCAGCCTGGCGATGAGGATGGGCGGGAGGAACATGGAGGACAGCAACACGGAGCCGTAGAGGGTGCTGAGTGCCGTCACGCCCAGGCCCTCCTCGCTGTAGAGGCTGCTCTGCGGGCACAGACAGCTCTGGTCAGAGCATGCGGGGCGTGGGGCTAGGTCACTGCATGGTCAGGGTCTCCTGCACTGGGGACAGACTGAAGGCCACGTCCCAAAGCCGTCAGCTGTCCCAACTCGAGGGAGAGAGCGGCCGGCACCCCTGCCAGCACTCATGCATCCAGGTGGGCTCTCGAGCGCCGAGAGCTGAGGGTGGAGGAGCAGCCAGGTCTCCAGGCAGGAGCACAGGCATCTGGGGTGGGGACAGGAAGAGGGCTTGCAAACAGCCGTCTTCTTGTCACGTCCCCAGGAAGCCGTCCCGTCGGGTCCCCGTCTTGTCTTGCACCAGGCTGGGGACCAGGCCCGGCCAACGACTCAGTTATCCCTTACAAGGCCCATCTCCTAGGGCGGCCACACCCTGGGGTTCTCGGGCTCAGGCTCCCACAGATGCACCTGGGAGGTAAGACCCAGCCCCAGCACCGTAAATGCTGCTGCTGTCTGTTCCCTGCAGCAGGCAGCTGAGGTACCACAGGAGAGCCTGCCCCCTCCCTACCCATCCTTCTAGCAGGTCAGGGGTCTCTAAGACCCTCCCCGAACACCTCGTCCCTAGAGAGCTCGAGTTTGCTCTTGCTCTGGAACCTCTCTCTCAGCAAGCCTGGCACCCCGCCCTGTACCCCAGATGGGCCCAGCCTCTTTGTGTTAAAAATCTGCTCAGGGCTTGTCCGAAGCAGGCCCTCGAGAATACTCAGGGCCAGCACTGAAAACACCGTGGCCAGGCCCACAAACATTCCGAAATCTGGGTGAAGAGGAAGCTGAACACCACCCTCCAAAGTGGGGGCGCTCTGGGAATGTTGGGGTGTCACCGGGGTGGCGAGGAGCACCAAGCCGGTGCGAGGCCAGGGTCTGGACTGAGCCTTTGTTGTCTGCAGATCCCTGCAGGAGGTACTGGGCCAAGGCGTGCCCGCCTCTGCAAAGGGGAGGGGACGCTGGGGCTCTGGCCACTGCAGGCCGCCGAGCAGCTGCCCACCGGGAGGCAGGTGTGTCACGCTGGGTCTGGTCATCAGCTACTGGGAAGGCAGGCTTCAGTACCCAAAGTAGGACACGCTTTTACAGTGAGCATCGTCTTCTGTGTGAACAACCATGTTGAACGCCTGTATCTACATGTGTATTTGGAGCGCTGATCCAGAAACATACGTGTGCGCATGTGCAGACCAGCCATGCACACATCGGCCTTCCTCCGCAGACTTGCAGAAGAGAAGGCCACTCATTCTGTGAGAAGGTGGCGGAGCACCCCACAGAGGTCTGGGCGAGCTCTGGGGGAGGCGGGGATGAGGAGCCACAGCGTCCAGGACAGTGTCCGCAGAACCAGCAGATGGCCTACTGCCACGCACACCCACTGCGCACCGCGCTGGCTGGTGTCGGGTGGGGCCGTGGGTGGGGTGCTTGTCCCGCCCCCAGGTCCTGCCGGGCTGCAGGTCTGCTTCTCTGATGTCGTCCAGTCTTTTGAGGAAGGAGGGATCACACCAAGGGGCTGTGGCCGGAGGCAGCGGGTCTCTCCCTGAGGGTGCCCTTGGCATGCAGCGCATCCAACTGCCACCTGAGTGACTCCTGAGCACACACCCCAGGGCCAGGATGCTGCGCATTCCTCTGCTGCGTGAGTGGGCCACCACAGCCTGTGGGGACCTGGCAGGGCAGCTGCCGAGGCTCTCCCTCCTCCTCCGCCTTCTGAATCCAGAGCCTACTGACACCCAGCTGCACCCAGGACTTCCGACCAGTGGAGGCCAGACCTGAGCCTGGGGGAGCTGGCCTGGGTGCCGCCTTGGAGGAAGCTCTGCAAAGGGACGGTGGCCCGAGGACCACAGCCTGGCTGGCACGTGCGGCCTGAGCTCAGCGCGGCTCACGCGTGATCACGGCTGCAAAGATGGCATTTCCAGGGCGACGCGCCCTCTGAGCCACGGGGAGGGAGACGGCGCTTCCTCCAGCGGGGCCGTGGAGACCTGCCAGCTGCCACCTCGGTTTCACAAGCCCAGGCAGACGCAGGGCCCAGAGGAACGCCACGGAGAACCGAAGGCCGAGAAGTCAAGGCCACAGCCACAGCCACAGCCAAGCCCTGAAGCCACGAGTCCCCAGTGTGCGCCACAGTGAGGGCATGGATGTGACTCCGAGCCCTGCCAGGTGCTCTGCTTCCGACCCGGGCCGCTCTGCCTCTGTCCCATCTGCTCTGCCTCTGTCCCGGCCACCCTGCCTTGGTCCCGGCTGCTCTGCCTCTGTCCAAGGCCGCCCTGCCTCGGTCCCGGCTGCTCTGCCTCGGTCCCGGCCGCTCTGCCTCGGTCCAGGGCACTCTGCCTCGGTCCCGGCTGCTCTGCTTCTGTTCCGGCCACGCTGCCTCTGTCCAGGGCGCTCTGCCTTAGTCCCAGCTGCTCTGCCTCTGTCCCAGCTGCCCTGCCTTGGTTCCGGCCGCCCTGCTTCGGTCCCGGCCGCTCTGCCTCTGTCCCGGCTGCCCTGCCTCTGTCCAGGGCGCTCTGCCTCTGTCCCGGCCGCCCTGCCTCTGTCCAAGGCCGCTCTGCCTCTGTCCCGGCTGCTCTCCTTCGGTCCCAAGTACAGAGCAGCTGCCTGACCTGCCTGGCCTACAGACCAGTGAGGACTCGCTCATTGGCTGTCAGAAGCTCTAAGTGTCTGTTAAGTGACAGCCCAGGCCACAGGAAGCGACTCGGCCTCCCCAGGGGACGATGACAGCCAAGGCCAGGCCAGTTCTCTGGGCTTATTCCCATCAGTGTCCAGACGCAGAACTAACTCCCCAGGGGAGTGTCAGCCCTGCTTCCATGCGCACGGCCAGTGCCATGGCGTTTTTACTGTTGTATGCATGTCCACCCCCTGAGAGGCAGTGAGAGGACGTGCCCCCTGGGGGCAGGGAGGGAGGCCACACTGCGCGCCCTGCTCCACCCTCTCTTGGATTCTGGGTACACATGCGTGCACACCCTCGGTGCGCACACTTCCTTCAAGCCACTGGGTCTGGGACTAGAACCAAGCATCTGCCCTGTGGGATCCAGCTGCCTTAACCACCACGCCCTGAGTGGCCTGCCGCAGCCTTTCAGCAACGGTCAGTACGTTTTCAAGTGACTCACTGGCCTGAGGAGGAAAGAGCGCCTTAGAAGTTCAAAATATACGGGCTTGTCATCAGAGTCCAAGGTCTGGGCGCCTACAAGCCTATGGAGTTCATAAACTCACGTGAACACCCCGACCACAAACAAGGGCCACGATGCGGCAGAACTGACCGTGACCGTGCGTGTCTGCTTCGACCACCCCGAGAAGACAGCCTTCCCCAGTCACTGTGCCAAGGCCTGACGCGCTAAGGGTCGGACGTTCACTGTGCTGGGCCAGCAGGTGGCGTGGAGGGCTGAACCTAGGCACTAGACCCCACACAGCAAACCGCGTGGTTTGAGTCCCAGACCCAGTGGCTTGAAAATCACGCTGGGTGCATGTGCGTGCGTGCCCAAAATCTGGAGAGGAGACTGGAGGAGAGGGATCGTGGTGCGGCCATCGGGGGCTGACTTCTCACTTTCCCACTCTGTCTCTTCTGTGAGCATGTGCCCAACCTCACACTGAAGATAATACACACAGGCCACGCCGTCAACGTGAGGGAACTGCCGTCACGGGACTGCGTGTGAGGCCGTGTGGTGCCCAGCCTTGGGTGCAGGTGGTGACCCAGCACCCGGCAGGGCTGCAAGCCACACGGCCAACCGTGGGGTTGGAGCCGAGTCACCAGGCGTGTGCACATGTCTGAGACCCTAACTGGTTAAAGACCAGGGAAGGGTCACCATGTGACAAGACCCTTCTCTCTCATAAAAGGAAGAAATAAGTTTTTAAAAAAGAAAAGAAAGGGGCCAGCAGGTGGCATAGGGTTAAGGAGGTGGACTTCCATGTGGGTGACTGCAGTTAGAGTCCTGCACCCAGTGGTTTGAAACTTACACTGGGTGTGTGCAAGTGCATGCCCAAGATCCCAAGAGGAGAATGGAGAGGTGGGGACTGCAGTGTGGCCATCCCCTTGGGGAGGGATGTCTCTCTTTCTCTCTCTGTCTCTGTCTCTCTGGCAAGTGCATATGCCCTACAGCAAAAATCTCTCCAAAAAAAAAAAAAAAACGAAAAAGAAAAATCACTGTTGGTTTCAGACGGGTTTTGAGTGGTGAAGGACAACTCGGTGACTTGGGTAAGAGGCTGCCCTCCTTCACGGCTACGGGGGTTCTTGGAGCCCGAAAGGAGCTCAGGAGCAGGGTGGTGCAGGGGTCACCCCACTTACCTGCAGGCTCTGCAGACCCCCGTAGGCTGTGAAGAGAAGCAGAAATCCGAGGGCCACCACCAGGACGTTCTTGAGACTGTTCTCCATGGTGCAGGTGGACAGTGCCTGCCGTCAGGGGCACTCACGGTGTGGCTCCCTGGAAGAGACCAGCCGGGCCCCGGTCAGCAGTCTGTATCGGAAGTCCATCCTGGCTCCCGAGCAGAGCAGTTAGTCATTAGGCTGTGCTGGTTACTGCTGACCCCGTGAAACACGGAGTGGTTACTCATTCACCTTTCCACACTCCGCAGCCACTTCCCGTGCTGCTATCAGCAGGTGCGTGGTCTGGCTTTCTGCCTGCTAATTTCAGTGCACACGGTCTTCATGGTGGAAAATACCTTTCACGCTGTGTATGTCACTATACGAAATGCCACCTCCCACGTTAAGTGAGAGCGCCAAGCATGCAGAACATGAACGCCCTGTAGTCCTAGGGAGCGTAAACAGCTACTTCAACATACACAGGTGGACTTCTAGAAACGAGCCAACAAGACCGAGATCCCAGGGCCAAAGTCTCAGTATTTATAGCACTGTGCTGTTTTTTTTTTTTTTTTTTTTTTTTTTTTTTAAGATTTCTGCCATAGGGTACAGGTGCTTGTGCTCACTGGAGAAGAGAGAGACAGAGACAGAGAGAAAGTGAGAAACTACCTCCTGGGGGTGGGGGATGGCCACGCCGGTCTACCCTCCTCTGCACACACACACACACACACACACGACCCCGATTGATTTTCAAGCCGCCAAGTTTGGGACTCGAACCATGGTTGACCACCAAAGAATCCAGCTGCCTTGGGATCAGCAATTGGTGTAATGGCTATGTTGCTGGACTTCCATGTAGTCCACCACGGTTCAAGTCCCAGACCCGGTGGCTTAAACTCACACCGGGTTTGTGTGCGTGCGAGCCCAAGATCCCAAGACGAGAAGGGAGGAGAAGGTACTGCGGTGTGAGGGGGTGATTTTTTGCTTTCTGTCTCTCTGTCTTTCTCTTTCTGGTGAGTGCACGTGCCTATAGTAAAAACCCCTCAAAACAACAACAACAACAACAACAAAGAATCCAGCTGCCTTAACTACCACGGCACGTGGTGGCCCCCACTGTGCTCACTTTTTTCCATTTTAATTATTTTGTGCATTCAATCACTGTACGTCGCGTAGCCTGCAGCATGAATTTACCCAACGTAGATACGCATCGCTGTGTGCAGCTGAGGGTGCTGCCTGGTACCGTCGGCAGTAGAACGCCCACGAGCACAGGACTCTACGACGTGGTGCAGTTCCACATGCGCAATCCCGGGTACTGCATCAGTGCTGGGTCGTCGCGAGAACTCATCCAGCTGTCTGAGACTGGAAACCGAGCTTCAGGACAGTGGAGTGCTGTAGAACTGGGTCCAGACCTGCCCTAGCTAACACGAGAGCCGCTGACCACTACTCTGTGGCTAAGTGCCTAGAATGTGGCTTGCACAACAGAGGAACTGAATTCTTAACTGCGCTCCCACGTGGTCGATGAGGTTCGAGTCCCGGACCTGGAGGCTCTCTCTCTCTTTCTCTTTCTCTCTCTCTCTCACTCTATCCCTCTTTGGTCAAATTAAAATAAATGAATAAAGTTAACTGTGATTCATTTTCATTCCTTAAAATGAAAATTGAGGTTAGCTACATGTAGACAGTGGCCACTGAACTGGCCTAAGGTTTTAAATGACTTACCCAAACCTCATAGCTAATAAACAAGGAATCCTTTTTCTTACTAAGTTGTAAAACCTGTTGTTCTAAGATTGTTTCCAAGGTTCTCTGAACTGAGTGCTTTCGTCTAGTGTGGCCCTAGAAGGCCAAGCTTACCGCACTGGAGAGCCGACGCACGCCGGCCTCCTGCCCAGGAGACGGACAGCTGCCCACCGTGCCAGCTGAGCAGTCTGCCTAACGAGGCACAGGTGCAGTTCTGCAGCTGGACTTACCCCTGCGGGAATAAAACTTCATGAACACGCGGTTTTACATGCTGGCTGGACGGACCGTCACGCTTACACAGACACCAACGCGGTCTTGTTCAGGGACAGCGGCCACAGAGACCAGCGAGTTCCAGGTCAACTCTACGCTTAACTTCTCAGGTGGGCCATGTGGTTCTCTGAATCTTGGTTTTCTCTTGGTAAAAGGAGGGTTGCAAAAGAATAAGAAGCTAACAACTTTTTGAATTGGCAGAGGGCCAACGTGCTCAGCAGAGACAGACATAAAGAAGGAGAAAGCGCTCCGAAGGGGCATGGTCACGCCCGTCCCACCTCCTCCATTTCTCTGCCCACTGGTTTTTCTTTTTTCTTTTCTTTTCTTTCTTTCTTTTCTTTTTTTTTTTTTTTGGAGAGGTTTCATGTGCTCGCCAGAAAGACAGAGAGAGACAGAAAGTGGGAAATCACCCCTCAAGGGGGATGGTCACACCGCAATCCCTTCTCCTCCATACTCCTCTAGGGATCTTGGGCACGCACACATATGTGGCATGAGCTTAAGCCACCGGGTCCGGGACTTGAACCATGGTCAGCTACATGGGAGTTCAGCAGCATAGCCATTACACTAACTGCTAGTCCCCCGTCTGGTGTTTTTCAAACTGCAGGGACCAGGATACGAACCGTAGTCAGCCATGTGGGGTCTGGCTTTCTGAACCACTAGGCTACGGGGCCAGTCCAAGCTAATAACTTAAAGCCCTGGAACAGCTCTCGATTCACAGTACTCACTCACCGTGAATGTTCATTGACAAATGACACTTTGGCTTTCAGAGAAGAGCAAGCTGTAGGAACACTGAAGGAGCCGTAGCACTCACAGACCTGCCTGTCTCACGCCAGCCTTGTTCTCCGTCAACGAGTTTTGACATTAATTCCGAAGTCATGGCTTCAGTCGTGCTGGACTGTTCACCTCTCACTCCCAGTTCCTCCCCTTCGTCTATGTTAAGAGGGGTTTAAAGAAACAAACGATGCATTTTACAATCAGTCTTGGTTTCCAGGGCAAAGACACGTCTTACACGAGATGCCTGCCAGCACCGCACCGGAGCTGGTGACGTGACAAGGACAGTCACCCTGCAGGACCCACAAGTCACAGGCCCTCTGTCCTACCCGGACTTGGAAGCCTCTCCCCACTAACTCGCAGGCCCGCAGAAAACGGCGCTGGATGGAGAGGAGGCTGGCGCTCGGGAGCCCCGGGGCGGCTCACCTCTCAGAGCTGGTGCTAACGGAATGAGCTATGCTGAGCCTGGAGCTGGCCGAACCTCCAGGAGGGGCTGAAGAGCTGGGACTGCACGCTCGGAAGTTACCAGAATCGCTGGGCACCGTGCAGTAGCACATAGACCATATAGGCCAGAGGAAGGCACGAGTTCTAGGATCTGCTGGAGTCCGACCATCGCTTACTGGGTATGAAAACGGAAGGTACAGAGCCTGGGTGAGCCGAAGAGTGAGCACTGGGACCCGCCGTCCTGCCGTCGTGGGCTCCCAGAGGTCCGGGCTCCGGGCACCGCGAACGAGCCCTCCTCCCCTCCCACGCTGTCTGTGGCGACCACAGGCGCTCTCACACCTTCACACCTCCTGGCCCTTCCTGTTCTCGTCCTTAGTGCTCAGAAAGCGGCAGAACACGGAAGGGCCACAGAAGTGGGCGGTGCTCTGCTGACGGTAACGTGTAGCCCTCCTCCCCTCCCACGCTGTCTGTGGCGCCCACACCTTCACAGCTCCTGGCCCTTCCTGTTCCCGTCCTTAGTGCTCAGAAAGCAGCAGAACCCGGAAGGGCCACAGAAGTGGGTGGTGCTCTGCTGACGGTAACGTGCAGTGGTGGAAGTAAACCCAAGTACTGAGTTGCTGGAGAAGGCTCGGCGCTATGACCCAGTAAATGCAATGCGTTCTGTGAGTCACATTTTCAGCTACGTAAAGACGGGGAAATCTGTCTAGGTGCAGAGCAAAACAAGTGACTGTGTACCTCAGGAATTCTCACACTTTGTAAATAAATGGACTGGCTGTTTCATTTTTGTTCGTCGTCGTTTAAAAAGGAAGAGCAATTTGCATCAGCACCATATGGCCTGAGAAAGTGTTTTCTGGAGGCAAACATTCCAGAGCGTCCGGAGCCTGGGACACACTGGCAGGGC